CTATCGAAAACTTAATCATGCATGTAGTGACTCCAATTGCAGCTGCTGTACCAGATGTGATTTCCTTACTCAGATTAATACATTTCCTGGTACCTGGTATGCAGCTATTGACTTGGCAAATACTTTCTTCTTGATACTAGTTCATAAAGATCACAAGAAGCAATTTGCTTTTGCTGGCAAGGCCAACAGTATACCTTTACTATCCTGCTTCAAGGGTATATTAACTCTCTAGCATTGTGCCATAACTTGGTTCTAAGGGATCTTGATCACCTGACTCTTCCACAAAATATCTCACTTGTCCACTATATTGATGATGTTATGATGATTGGATCCAGTGAGCAGGAGGTAGCAAACAGTCTGGACTTGTTGGTAAAGCATATGTACATGAGAAGATGAGAAATAAATCCAACCAAAATTCAAAGGCCTTCTACCTCAGTGAAATTTCTAGTTCAGTGATGTGGAGCATGCAGAGAGATTCCTTCTAAGGTGAAGAATAAGTTTTTGCACTTGGCTCCTTCCTTCACCAAGAAAGAAGCACAACACTTAGTAGGCCTGTTTGGATTCTGGAGGCAGAACATTCCTCATCTGGGCATGTTATTATCACCCATATATCAAGTGATTTGGGAGGCAGCTACCTTTGAGTGGGGCCTGGAACAGGAAAGGGCCCTTCAACAGGTCCAGGCTGCTGTCCAAGGTTCTCTGCCCTTTGGGCCATATGATCCAGCAGACTTGATGGTGCTTGAGGTATCAGTGGCAGATAAAGATGCTGTTTGGAGTCTCTGGCAGGGCCCCATAGGGGAATCACAGCAGAGGCCATTGGAATTTTGGAGTAAGGCTTTGCCTCTCCCTTTGAAAGACAGCTCTTAGCCTGCTATTGGGCCTTAGTGGAAACTGAATGTTTGATGATGGGCCACCAAGTCACCATGAGACTGGAGCTGCCCATCATGAGCTGGGTGTTATCTGACCCCCCCAAGCCATAAAGTAGGCCATGCACAGCAATAATCCATTATCAAATGGAAGTGGTATATACGTGATTAGGCTTGAGCAGGCCTGGAGGGCACAAGCAAGTTCCATGAAGAAGTTGCCCAAATGCCTATAGTTCCTACTCCTGTGACAATGCCTCCTGTTCTCAAGCATGCTCCTATGGCTTCATAGGTGTGCCCTAAATTGGCACCTAGAAGCAGACAGCTGCATTACAGCCAATTTCTGGAACAACCCTGAAGGGCACTGGGGAAGGAAAGTCTTCACAGTGGGCAGAACTTCGGGCAGTGCACATGGTCATGCATTTTGCTTGGAAGGAGAAATGGCCAGAAGTGTGATTATATACTGATTCATGGGCTATAGCCAATGGTTTGGCTGGATGGTCAGGGATTTAGAAGAAACATGATTGAAAAATTGGTGAGAAACACATTTGGGGAAGAAGTATGTGGACAGATCTCTCCAAATGGGCAAAGGATGTGAACATACTTGTGTCTCATGTAAATGCTCATCAAAAAGTGGCTTCAGCAGAAGATGACCCGCTCTGTGGACTGTCAGCCTCTTTCTTCAGCTATCCCTGTCATTGCTCAATGGGCCCATGAACAAAGTGGCCATGGTGGCAGAGATGGAGGTTATGCATGGACTCGGCAGCATGGACTCCCACTCACGAAAGCTGACCTGGCCACAGCTGCTGCTGAGTGCCAGATCTGCCAACAGCAGAGACCAACACTGAGCCCCCGATATGGCACTGTTCCCCGTGGTGACCAGCCTGCAACCTGGTGGCAGGTTGACTACACTGGACCACTTCCATCTTGGAGGGGACAGTGTTTTCTCCTTACAGGAATAGACACTAATTCTGGTTATGGATTTGCCCTTCCTGCACATAATGCTTCTGCCAAAACTACTATCCAGGGACTTACAGAATGCCTTATCCAC